TGGGAACACATCCTACAGACACGCTCACAATGACCTCTGGGCCCTCCAGACCCTCCCATTGATTCCCCAGCATGCACTTGAGACACAAGAGGTCAAACTCCAGACAGCCCAGATTCTCCACCATAGCCTGTTTTACTCCGTCCATTCTAACTCAGTGATCTGCTCACGTTTCGGGAATTTACCCCACATGAGGTCTTCAAGCTTCTGTCTTCCTGTTTTGGAAAATGGCCGGTTGGCTCTTGACTGCAGTGATTTGTGTGCTGAATTTCACTTAAGGTGGCTCACAGTAGTATCAAGGTGGTGGCTATATAGACTTAATTTTGCAAGATGTGGAAAAACTACAGAGGGTTTGGCAGCTTTGAATTTTATGGATGGTGTTAACCAAAGACAAAGAGGCTTATTCGATTTATTTGACAGTCTAGAGGGTTTAAATGTGACCAGAAACAGCACAACCTGAAGCGTATGGGATCCTGCTGGAGCATTTGAGTGAAAGTATCTGTCTTCACTTACCACGTAACAAGCTCAGTGCTGAGCAGACACTTCTCAAGATGTCTTGCCATAAAACAGACAGATATAAAAGTCACTTGAATATGAGGAGCTAATTATGTGCTTGTAAAAGAAGCGCACATAATTATTCACACAAGAACGGAAGGTCTCTGCCTAGAACCAGTCCTGTCTATCTAAATTGTATAATGCAAATGATATATTGTGTTTCACAAGTTCAGATTTTGGCCGATTGTGCAGTTCATTGCAGTTTTTCGGTATGTATATATATATATGTATGTATGTGTGTGTGTGTGTGTGTGTGTGTTTGTATAATACATAAATCTAGGGAGATATAGATAAGATATAGATAGATACAAATGTAAGATATAGAGGTATTTAAAAATAATAAATAATATAAAAATATAATATAAATATAAGATATAGATTGTGTAAATATTAATTATTTGTACATTTGTATTACATTTTATACATTTTTAATTAATCTTTTTAAATTTACATTTATTTTTGAAAAATAAACATTTGATTTAGTCTCTCTTATTTTCTTCTTTGTTTAATTATTAAGGGGCTAGACCTACAAATGGCTTTTTTTTTAACTTGTTTCTGCATATTTTAACCTTGAAAAAAATGACACTTATACACATGCAGCTTTGACATTGATTCATGGCATATCTGACCCATTTTACTAGCGGTATGTTCCTTCTATTAAAATGCACTATGACTAAGAATACCTGACCATTGAAAGACGAAGAAGGCTAGAAGTTTATCCAACCTTGAAAGTTCAAGACTCGAGAGCAAAATTCCTCACGAGCCGCTGTGAACAGCACAATCACCTAGTGATTCGCTTCAAACAGAGGAATGATACGGCTCTGAAAATAAAACAACAGACGAGGCTTGTGCACTGAAAGATGGCTGATATTGTACTCTGTAATTAAGCCAGTCTGCACTTGATGAAAGCAAATTCAACTGGCGGGGCCGCAGTTTCACAGCCAGTTTGCTTTTACGACATAATTACAGTCCAAATCAAATGAGAAGATTTCATATTTCGCCGGGACAAGCCCCCACCCACCCCCCCACCAAATAGTCTAAATAGTTCAGTAATTCACCTCTGTTTGGGTGCTCCAGGAGGTCTGACTACAAGAGTCCCAATGACTGCAACTTGGAGAGAGTGGTGGCAATTATTCAGACCGTAGGTGTGGTTTTTCATTATATACAGGCTACGCTTCACTGTTTCCTCCATTCCAATGTGTCATCAAGTATCTCCAGAGCTTGTATCAGCATGACCTGAGCTCATATTTCATTTATACAAATGGAATTGTTCTGCAGGGGAAAATTAATATCGGACTGTGCAGAATGGGTGTCAGCATGCCATTGAATACAATGGTGACTGAAACAGCATAGTTTCACACCCTCACCCCCTTTTCTTGGGTGACGTACGTTTCACAAGCTTAGCAACTAAACAAAACAACGGTTGTTAGCCATTTTAAAAGACTACATTTAGTTACTGCTGGGGAATAGCTAAAGGGGGATTTTTGCAGTGATGCCTTAGAAGAGCCATTTGGGCTTCCCCAAAGAAACTTTCAGTCAACAGTTCTTAGTATCAAGAATATTTTGAAACCCAGAATCATTGGAAATATGTGACTCTGCTTACATTTCTGCACAACCTAAAATACATATTCAGGTGCATGTCCACACGAGGCGCTATAAGCGATGTCATGGTTTTCTCAGTTCTCAATTCATTCAATGGCTCAGTGTCATGACAAAAATCGTGCCTGTAGGTACATTTTGCGAAATTTATTGCATTTTTGTAGTTTGTTTCACAGCACTTTCGAAATAAAATGTCCAGTGACTGCCGCTAAATGTCGTTTTCAGTTCAAATTTGAAAAGTTCAAGTTGTATCAAATTGATATAACCACTACACTAATTCCTACCCTAAACCTGACCAGATGTGTTAACAAAAGCAAACGTGTTTTTACTCTAAAACACTTTGCGCTCCTGACTCGTACTTGAGCGCTGCACATTGCAAGTGCAATGCTACGCAGCTCCGCACATGACAAAGGCAAATCGTTTGCACAGTTTACTAATTCATTCCCTCGTTTTTAAGTAAATTGTGCCCACGAATAATTTGTTCTACTTCCTGTCTGCAATTCTCATAAACATGTTGCTGCTGTTACAGTATGTGGACAGGAAGTAGAACAACTTATTATTTTGTGGGCACGATTTACTTAAAACGAGAACGAGGGAATGAATTTGTAAATTGTGTACATGATTTACTTTTTTTTCCCCTGCATGTCATCTGCATGGCTCCGTACAATGCTGTACCAGGTGAGCTAAAGAGCAAGTTTACTATAGTATAGCCGTACACATGAAGCTGTTTATGTGATGCAAACGTCAAAATGTATTAGTTTGCGAATCATGGTAAAAGTCTTTTGAGATCATGACATTATGATAGGAACCACACAAAAGTAAGTCTTTATTTATCGATAATTTGCCCATACATCATTTGTGTGAAAATGAATAAACATTGTTGCTGTTTTTCTGCCTCTAGTGTTTATTTCGACTGGAAACTGTAGTAAAATCGATGCATGTATAGATACATTTTTGTTTAGTTTTTCAGAAATGTATGCAGAGTGACATATTTCCCATGAGCCAGAGTTAACATTTTAACAATCTGAAGAACCTTTTTGTGCAAAGTGCATGGATGTTGAAGGTTCTACATAGATGCCAAAAAAGAATCGTTTTCTAAGAGCGTACACTTTAATTGGTAGCTGCAAATGATTCTGCATGCTAGCCAAAATATTTAATACATAACACACAACGGAGTGTGTGGTTACTGATGTAAATTTGCTCTGAGTAAATTTGCTGGTGTAGATTCTGCACAGTCCTGAGTCATATAAATAACAAGAAAGATATCAATTTAGTTTTCATTTATAATCATATGACAGTGACTCAGTGGCACGGGCGGCATCTTAAACTAGGACAGGAAGTACGTATATATGGTCTTTAACACCGCAAACTCTTTGTTCCTTTAGGTCATATCTCTGCTGCGGACAGATCTTCAGAACCCACAGCTGCTGAATAGCCACAGCGTAACCACACATCCCTGCATCTCTGTTTCATAAAAAAATCCTATCCATACCCTCTCATTCCCACGGCAAGCCAGCTGGAGCAGATTTTCCCTGGTTGCCGTCTTGTCTGCCTCATGGGCTCGTTCCTGCTCACAGGACGCAGTTTGATTGGGCAGTGGTCAGGGGAACGGAGATTAGTAACTGGATATACAGAGCAGGGGACTGCTGGGAATACTCCTTGTCATCCGGTGAAAACCTAGGACTCTGTGGTCGCGAGGCATGGTCAAGGCGCGAGCCGCAACCCCTGCTGACACCCCGTTTGTTGAGACCACGCTTCGTTCAGACCCCTCATTTGCCTGCCACTCTCTCTGTGTGCGACCTATTTGAATCCTAGTTGTTTTGGCCTGACAAATAAGGGGCTACTTCACCACCACAGAGAGATATGTCTCTTCCCATGGCAGAGAGAGGACAGGCCCAGTGGGACCTGCCATTACGAACGCCCAAAAGAGACCTTAAATGGCGCACCATATCTGAACTACGACACCAGCTCATGTGGGGACGTGGTCAAAGCTACTTGGCAGCTCATTGGTGTGGCTGGTCATAATTAGAGTGTGAAAAAAGTGAGACCTCGAGGGGAAACTGGTGCCATGAATGAGGCTCTGGGAATCTGACTTCTTAAGCCGCCGGGGACGTGCTGGGACCGGGACGTTTGCGGGCAGAAGATGTCTCCCAGATGTCCGGCTCCATTGTAACCATATTCACCCCTCCTTCTTTAAAGGGACATTCACTACATGTTTCTTAAACATGAAGGACGAACAAAACAACACAGTATGAATGAACTACGGAGCAATTGTTTGTTTACAATATCTCTAGGTCAGACTGCTTTTAGCCTACGGGTCTCCACATGAGTGGCTTATTCAAGAAAACGTCTTGTGACTGGCCATGTGTAAATGCTCTATGAAGAGGTTTTTTTAAGTGCTTCGCCTCCCCAATTTGAAACATTGTTGGAGCTTCAAAGGACCCACCTGCCTAACAAAAGACAAGACGGGATGAGGCAAGATGGGAGAGGTCAAAAGAGGTCAGACAAGATTTCATGTGCTCCGCACTTAAACCAAGAGGAGGAAGGGCAGGTGCAGTGAAGACGGAGGTTGTACAAATTAGTGAAGTGCTTGGGTCAAAGGTGAGTTGGCCTGCTGGGCTTAACTTGCAAGTTTAAGTGGATTATAATGGAAAATGAGATATGCATTTAGACTTAATAAAAAAAAGTGTTTGCTGATTGCGAAAGACTATCTAATGGTAATGTATGATGTAGTACTAACATGGCTTTTATGACTTTTATTCTAAGTGCAACCATATAACACAAACAAAAGATTGACCTGGATGTAATTACACCAAAAAATAATTCACAAAAGATTATTTTCTTGTTTGTTTTCATTTTTATTTTATTTTTTTACATCCTCCTGTGGATGGAATTACCAAAATCATGAACAGATATAGTGACAAAACATTTGAATAGACTCACAATTTCATAATGGACTGCAAAATATAAAGTTTTTTTTGCATCATTTCATAAAATGCCACTGAAATTACAAATACATTGAGAATTTAACAATGAACAAAACATACACGCGCATATATCCATAGAAATGTACGGAAATACCTGCACCAAAAAAAAAGGAGGGGAGGGAAAGAAACAAAGGGAAAAAGGAGAAAACCCTGCTATGATATTCAATATTGTAGAAAAACAGAGGACAAAACATTTGTCTCATTTAAAACACATATACAGAAGAGCTCAGTATCCTTATACTTCAACACTGTAAACATAATTTAAAGACAGTGTCATAGTTATATTTTTTTTCATTCCAATTAATTGTTTTATCTCCACTGTCAATAATTCTCTAGTCCATCTAAGAAAGAAGAAATGGCTTAGTAATTTCTCAAACAAATCTGTGCGTTAAAACTTTCCCTTAAAAATGAAGCACACTTTACATTTCCCAAATAAATGAACAGTCTTCCTTTACGACTTTATTTGATTTGATTCCTCTTAATGAATTGAAATGATACTGGTTATGATCATTTGTTCATGGATTGTTTTTGTCCGCTGTATAGCGGGAGTTTGAACTACATCAGAAGATAAAGGCTGAATATTAATTTGAGGCACGTCCGTGTTGTCTGGTTACGTCTATCTCCGAAAGCCATTGGTAGCACTTAAATTCGACATGCTTTCTTGACTACAACACATTTCCTCCTGATTTTCTTTCAAGTTATGGCCACTTCCTGTCATTTATGCAAAGAGAGGTTTGCTAAGTATCTGACAAGTAGGTGATAAACTACACATCCGTATTTAAAAATGGTTCTCATCATTGTGCTGTACATTTCTTTATGATGTACCCAGCTGACTGATTTCAAGCAGGCAACATATGCAGCCGTAGCTTAAATTCAACTTTCTATTCAAGTCAAAAATAAAATGTAAACTGTAAAAAGTCATGAATATAAAAGACAGGATGTTGTAAATAGTGAATACGCAGATAGAGAACAGTGGCATATGCGGGGCGGAGGCGAGGACTGTGGTGTAAATTTGAGCTGATGATGTATGAAAGGAGACAGGTGGAGGCGATTCAGTGTGTAGGAACAGAGGTCGTAATGAGGAAATCATTTAATCCTAGGATCCTTTAGAGGACAGGCAGTCACCCAGGGCTTCTAGAGAGCCCCAACACAATTCAGTGATTGCGGTTTCAACAACGCACAGGATGGTGCGTATAATGCTGCTACAGCTTAATGGCCTGTGTGTGTGTTTACTCAAATGATTTCTACAGGTTAGCACCTGTGCTTTATATTGGTGTCCAAATAGCTGCTAATTCATTTTTGATTCCATGATAGATTGATTTGTGTATGAACACATCCCTTAAATAATTTAATAGGAATGCAGCGATAAAAAATCCTCCATATGAGCCTATGATAACAATTTGATATGTAACAAGCTAATGGCTTCCCTTAACAAGTGAATCCAGGTTGAATTAGTCAAGACTGCACAATAAACATATTATAATACCATTAACATATGAAAGGATTTGACCTTGTAGAAGGTTTGGAAAGCAATCAAATAGAATTAAGGGATAGATGAAGTTGGACGAAATGGCATGAATGTTAATTTGAGTGAATGTAAACATTTTGATCTTTAAAAATAAAATCTGGGCTTTAAAAAATGTCAGCCTTTTGAAAAAATATGTCGGTAATGCAACACTGGTAGCCTCAATACTGTTTATATACGGGAACCATAATATAGTCATTTTTGTTGTCATTTGCACGGAATCATTCTCATAAATGTCATGGTTGATGAACTTGCATTTAATTTCGTCTCATTCATTTCAAAGGTTGTCAACAGAAAATCATTCAGATGCAGTCAAACTGCCTATCAGCTTCCTTTAAACATCCCTGGGTTTTTTGCCCCTTAAAATTGACTATTTTATTGTCAAAGTGACATTCAGTGCTTTACATCTATCTACTGAATATAACCCATGATAAGTGGGGCCAATGACAGCAACAATAACATGAAAACCTTCTCAGATTTTTCGAAGCTGACCTCTTCTTTTAGAAACTACCCATTTGTTTCCTTTGAGGAAACTAGTTTATAACACAAAACTGGCTGAATGCCAAAATCTCAGTATTTGTCACATCATAAGATGGGGTGTAGAAATATAATTTCAGGAACTGAATGCATTAGAAACCCATCAATAATGTACCTGCACATGCCATGTATCATTACAAATAATCCAATAAATACAGAAATTATTGCACAGTAGAAAGGCTCCATGAATTCCTAATGGACTACTCCTCTGTTAGTTGCTGGGATATGCAAGAAGGGTTTTAGAACCGCAGACTAACATTTCCCTGTGTTCTTGTTTCTCAGGTGGCAGTTTGTTTTCACAAAAAAAAAAAAAAATCAAATCACTCCAAAAGATAAATAGTCAAGAAAAAGACTATCCAGCTAAAACCCATAATGCAGTGCATTGGTAAGTGGTCTCAAGCTCTGTCAGCCTGCTCAAGTTTGACCTCATTGGTCAGCAAATGCTCTCCATGCCACTTCTTCATGTGTTTTTCCAGGGTGCTGTACACGCCGAAGGGCATGTGGCAAATATCGCAGCGATACACCTCTTTGCCAAACTGCCCGTGGGTCTTCATGTGCCGGGTAAGCTTGCTGCTCTGGGCACAAGCGTAGCTGCACAGGTCACACTTGTAAGGCCTCTCACCTGTGTGGCTGCGCCGATGCACGGTCAGATTACTGCAGTTCTTGAACACCTTACCACAGTACTCACAGGTGTCACTCCGTCGACTCTCCTTGGAGGGTGGTCTCCCTGGCCCAGGACCCCGCAGATGGAGGTGAGGTGTACTGCTGCCACTTCGCCCCGACATCCCACCGCCTTCCAGAATTTCCCCTGGAGGGGTGGAGAAGCGCAGGCTGCCTGTCTCAGATGAAGAGTGCTCGGAAGAAGTGCCAAAAGGTGACTGCCTGGAGTTGTTGAAGCCCAGGAAGGGCTCCCTTATGAAGTGGTGGGATGCAGCATAATTGGCAAGCAACTGAGAATACACATTTTCAGGGGATATTACGGGCACCTGAGGCAGCTCTGCATCCTTCTCTATTTTGATCCTCTTGGCGGAAGACCCAGTGAGGCTGGAGCTGGAAATAGGCATTGGCTTCCGGTGGAACAATGCTGAGATGGGATCCTCCGGGCCACAGCCTCTGCCATTCACCATGGGCCTCCTGTTTCTGTCAGTCTCTCTGGATGCCGAATCTGTGTCCATCTCCTTGCATGGCCTGCTGCCCGGTGGCAGTCTGAAGTGATTGTCAAGGTTGTTGTATTGGCTTTCTGTCACTCTGTCAGTGGTCACTGGTTTCTCCTCTGGGGAGGGTCTTGGGCCATTCTCTCTGTTTCTGCTCAACTCCGAGTCCATGCTCAGGTTGGATTCAGGCCTGCTTCCATTTTGCTGTTGTTCCTCTTCTTCCTCCTCTTCTTCCTCGTCCTCCTCCTCTTCTTCTTCCTCCTCCTCATTATCCAATACCTCCCTCGTGCAATTTTCCTCACTGTTCTTAAGCCCCTCTCCAGCTGAGTCTTGCCCTCCCTGCTCAGGTGAACTCCCCATGGAGCCTGACTTGTGCATGTGCGTCTTCATGTGGCGCTTTAGCTTGCTGGCCTGCGAACATGCATGGTCACAGAGATGACACTTATAGGGTCTTTCGCCAGTGTGGCTACGTCTGTGCACAACCAAGTTGCTTTGGAACTTGAAAGTCTTGCCACAAAACTCACAGGACTTAGCTTTGCTGACCTGATTTAGTGGTGGTGAAGAATTGCCTCTGGATGGAATTGATGGCGGCTGTGAGGGTGTGGTTAGAAAAGGTAGAGGTTTGGAGCCAGTCTGGAACAGAGTGGGGCTGAGAAGCCGATGCATGGGGGGCACACGGTTAGGTGAAAGAGGGGGAGTGGGACCACCATTGTTGTTGTTGCCCGCCAATTCACGAAGACGCTGAGAGAAGCCCATGGATGGTTCAATGCCCATGGGTGTCAGCCGCATCACCCGCTCAAAAGCACTTGGATGCTGGGACAGGAGACCCATCTCCTCAGGGCCAAGACGTTCCAGAGGATGGCGGGGTGGCGGAGGGCTTACAAAGGGCGGGGTAGATGGCAATCGGGTTTCAATGTATCCGGGTGGTGGAGGATCTCGTAGCAGTGGGGCACCCATACGCAACAGATGGAAAGGGTTGCTGCCATCGCCCAGAAAGCTGGCTAGAGGGGAACGGGGCAAGGCGTCAGCCCCCAGTGGTGGAGGAAGGGCCATGCGAGGGGTAAGCGAACAGCTAGTAGGGTGGGTGTCCAGGTAGATGCGTATCCCATGGGTGTTCTGTACATGCTGCAGCAGAAACCATGCACTGGTAAAGGGTTGCTTACAAGTGGTGCAGATGTAGCTGGAGGGCTCATCTTTTCCTGGAAGACACAAAACAAGTGGACGGAATTAATATATACATATTATCTATTAACTCTCTGATTTGATGCGAGGGGAGGTTGAGATAGCACACTTTAAAAGCTTTCCATGTCATTTGCGCATCTGTTTTTTCTCAGTGATGGCTTTGAATGTAATCAAAGCTAAGAGTCCTCTATGGTGAGATTCATGGATCATTTCTGTTTAAAAATTAAACAAGCAACATGTGAAAGACATCTCATTGCGGTGCGGCGACAGCCATTTTATAAGATTGAATGAAAATTACATCACTCTAAGAGGGGAGACAAGAGCTCTCTGATAGCCTAGCGGGTTATCTACTGTGCGGCAGGGCCGGCTGCTCTCTAAAGCTGTGTCAAAGAGGATCTGCCTGTATGTGACTCACCCAGAATCTGAGTCACACTAGGGGGTTAGTGAGATCAGGGAAGCTCCCTAAGGGCTGGAGCCTAATGCAGATGGCAGGTATCGCCCACAGGCCACAATGCATTGTGTTAATACTAATGTCAGCCAGGTGTTAATATAGAACTCCCATTCAACACCCCAACACCCCCACCCTTCACTATTTCCATATGGAGATAATTCTGTGGCAAAAGAAAGAGAAAGAGAGGATTAAGAAAGAAAGAAAATGAAAGGGAATCGTGTTGACAGGTCCATACACTGACATATCCCGCTTTTCCACTGCGTGGTACGACTCGGCTCGGTACGGCTCAGTACGGCACGGCACGGTTCGGCTCATTTCCACAGCAGTTCAGTACCGCTTTAGAGTGGGCGGGATTATTCACATGTAGCTATAGTTGCATCGCCTCTACTACCGCGACTCCTAAAAAAACTTTTTCATTCCGCGTCGCCCCATCAAGCTCTCGCTGGATCCGCTCCTCTGCTATCAACGAGAGGAACGTCTGTTCTTCCGCAACAGACAACAAAACTTTTTGGTTGTTAAAAAAGGTGCGCTTGTTCAAAACAGTTGCGTTCGATCCTTCACTGGCTGTACTGATTTAAATCTAGCGGTTCTTTTGTGTTTGTGTCGCAAGTTCAGTGACGCAGGTAGTGACGATTCTCTCCACGGCCAATCCGTGATCAGCAGAGTTTACACGTCACGTTTTGGTAACGGTATGGTTTACTTGGAACCCCAACCAAGGTGGTACTAAAAAAGTACCAGGTACCAGGTACTGTACCCAGTGGAAAACCCCCCAAAAGTGAACCGTACCGAGCCGTACCGTGCCGTACCATGCAGTGGAAACGCACCAATAGTCAGGTGCACAGTTAGCTGACAAAGTTACATTTGTGTGATGGGATATTTTCAGTGAAATACACTTTGCAAATACATGCCAATGCAGTCATGTGCATGACTTCACATCAATTAATACTTTCATGTTATTATTATTTGTTTTGTTCTATATAGTTGCCTAATAAACACCTGACTGATGCAGTAAAAAGAAAAGTGGAGGACACTGAAAGTGGAAGCAGTTGTGCAGGACAGGTCCACAGCCTTCGTTTGATTTGGCTAGCCTTTAAATGGACACCTGGTGGGAGGGATTTTGGACGCTAAGAGAGTAACAGAGAGAGAAACTGAGGGGACATGAAAAAAGAGGTGGCAGAGATTAGATACTAAAATACACACAGGCTGTTCATTTTCATTTTCAGGCCCTGGACAGGAGCCCAAGTCTGGATAAAATCAACAACGGACATATTCTACGCCCAACTCTAGTTCCAAAAAAGCCTCATTAACATACCATATCCCTCTGATGGCTGTAAAAGACTCAACATAATGTGGGATGGACAAAAAGTGTGCAATAGAGCATTCGTGCATGCACAAATATATGCATTTGGTGTGTGCGCTCTCGCTCTTCCCCTGACATAACTGTGTGCTTGAGCTATTGCAATTTGCATCCTATCACATCATACAAAAAACACCATATGTTACTAAGGGACCGTGTCAGCTAACAGACAGGCAGACTTAATGACGACCAAAGACAAATTTCATCAACTTTCCAAACAAGCCAGAACGAGGGAGAGAAACCCATAGTGAATAAGTTAGGATATGCTAATGACCCATCAGAGATCCATGTCTTGTGACAGCAGCTTGTGTGGCACGATGGTTTGAAATTACCCATCAGGCACCTCAGGAACACAAATCTCCGTCTGATCATGGTCCACTGGGTTCTACTGTGTGTGTGCCACACTACAGAGGCCTGGGAAGACCATGTCACAGCAAAGAGCTCCAGCCAATAAAAGTGCTCATTACAGAATCATCGCTGTTCGCTGCATAAAGAACAAAGGACGAGGGGATGCCATGGGGACTACGACACGCCTTCACTCCCTTCCGGACCCGGACCCCCCCAATCAAACGTCCCTTCTGTGCACCTGTCACAAGCCTGGCTGACACCTCACACCGCAGTAACGTCAGGCAAAATGTTACAAAATTTAGTAACGTTCAAGCTCAAAACATTTTCAGTGAACTAAGAGTAAGAAAGTAAGCAATATCATATTCTATGAAAACAGGATATTAATGTACACAATTTTGATTCTCAAGTAAATGTATCTTATTTTTAAAATATTAACACTTTATAAAACAAAAACACTGATTGAGAAAATGATTTTTGCAGTGCAAATCTGTTGCCCTAACAAGAAACCAAACTTTATAACCCTGAACCAGGCGCTTAGTGTAAAAAGTCTGCTCTACAGCAGCAATACCATAAACTAAACTAATAATTACCTTTATCAAATTCTCTATATAGTCCTTTTTGTACCCATAATCCTCTCGTAGTTCACTGCTCTGGTGAATGACAGTTATCTGTGATTCCTGGCTATAATGAGGACAGACAACTGTATATGAAAAGACTCCCATTCTACAGTGGAAAAACTGTGTGTGTAAAGAGCCACAGAGGATAGTGGCAGGAATAGTGGTTATGGCAGGCTCACACACATGCATACACATGGCTGTCTCCTGTCTAAGTGAAAGCAGGCCTGTTGCAGTAACCGTTCCAATCTGTCTCCATCTGCAGGAACACAGAGGAGGGACATCACAAACTGCCTCTGGAAGAGAAGCAACTGCGCTCTCACTGCACACATACACACAAAAGACACCTACACAGTCACACCCACATTTAAACAAACAAATAAACTCATATTTTCTCAGCCACTGTCACAAATAAACAGAGAAAACACGGAGACCCCGGTATAAATTCATCCAAACCCTCTAACACACAAAATCCACTCAGCAGTTCCTTGAATTCTCTGGGCCTGCACTGCACTGTAAAGAAGAAGAAAAAATTCCCTAATCATTTTGGTCTTGTTTTCCATGAAAAACACGTAAGCATAATTTTGAAGCAAATTTGCATTATTTAATGTATTAAGGATCCGCTTACACTTTTTAATGTTGCCTTGGCTGATATGGCAGTCCTCTGGGACTTATACTGACACCTAATGGTGTGGATGCAAGCAAAATTTTTCAGCTATCGATGCCATCGTAGAAATATAAAGCAATGCCATTGTAAAAGAGATAAAGCAAGTATTCGGCAAGTCAAAAAAAATTGCAGCCCTAATGAGGCTTGGCAAAAATGATGTGAGAAAAATCCAGTCATTTCAATGTGACTCAGCAATAGCAAGCCTCTTGATTCGTCGATTCGTAGCTCTGTGTGGGTGGAGCTTTGTAATTTTGCAACAAATCAAACCTGAAGATCCACAATGGATGAGGCTCTTGTTCTGATGTGTCTACATATTTTTGCATTTCAATATTATTAAATTATCCATGTTCGGAGAGAAGTTAGGGTTGGTTTAGGGAATATCGTTTTTCTCACATCTGTTCCTGCTTTTTTCACCTGCAAAATTTCGCAGCGCAAAAGCTTAGTTTTTAAAAGTACATTTATCTGGCTTTGAAGATCTTTAGATATAGTTACTATAAAACAAGAGAAAAAATACTTAATAAAAAAATTTTTGGCAGCATTTTACCACCATACCCGTCCTATATATACTGACACACCCACATCAGCCTTCTACTTCCTCCTGCACACTCACTGCCAGTCTCATGAAGAAACAGGCCAGCCAAGGGTAGCGTAACCGTCTAACTGAAAACACATGCCACCCTAGAGTGCCCTGTCATCATTTGATACTGCCAGAGCGAAGACGTCCTACGGTGCAGACGGGAAAGGACAGTGAAAAACAACTGGAAAGACTTCTCTGTCAGAAAGAGCTATGACTCTTGGCTCGGTGAGAACAGAGAGAAGAGCATTAGCACAGAGTTTTGTGGCATTGCAACAAGTCTGAATCATAGCTTGGAGTGTGCGTCACCGCGTTAAGATCTGGCTGGCGTGAAAAGGCGTTCAAGAAGAGCTGCAGGAACTTGATGGATGACACTGGTGCTTGCGGCTGAAGGGAGATGCGGAAAAGCCAGTGGGGTGGAGAGAAAAAAGTAAAATAGGGGGACAGCGAGGGACCAGTTCAAAGCAAACATTGCTCCATGTCATCGCAATCATACCCTGGATCACAATCAAATCTCCCAGCGGTTAACGCTAATAGCTTGACATGAGACGGAATTAAAATAGTCTTGTGTTGTTACTTTGAAAACGTTTTTCTTTAGATCCTTTTACTCCTTTCAATTGTACACGTTCAAGAGAAAAAATAACCGTTAACATATTCATTAATCTCTGTTTGGCTGGTGCAGGATGTCCCAGAAGTGCACAATTTGAATCGTGCCATCTTTGCTCTTGGCCGCTTAGTTCTGGGCACAAACGTCAATCGCCTAAGCAATAAATCTGACTACACTGCAAAAAAATTATTTTCTGCCTCATCATTTTTGTCTTATTTTCTGGTACAAATACCTAAACATATTTACATTTCGATACAGTTGCTTTAGAATAAAAATGACAAAGTCTTGTTTTCTGAAAAATGCTTCAAAGTGTGACTTTATGATTAAAATGAAAAAGTAAATGTCTGCCAATGAGGGCAAAAAAAAAAGTTTTCCCTTTAAATGAAGTTTATTTGTATT